CCAAATTCATGAAAAATGTTAATCTATACTTGCAAGAAACCCAATAAACTCCAAATAGGGTAAACTTAAAGAGATACAAATACATCATAATCAAAATGCTGAAAACCAAACCCAAGGAAAACAAACCTTGAAAGCCATAAGGGAGAAGCAATTCGTCACATACAAGGGATCCTCAATAAGAAAACAGTTCATTTACCATCAGAAACCATGAACACCAGAAGGCAGTGGAATGACATATTCAAATTGCTGTGGGGAGGAGGGACTTAAGCCAAAATAAACCATCAACCAAGAAGTCTATGTCCAGCACAATTATCTTTCAAACAACGAAGTAGAAATTAAAACATTCACAGATAAATGCTGAGAGCGTTCATCACTAACAGTGATTTCCCACAAAAAGCAATAAAGGCAGTTGTTCAGGTTGAAGTTGAAGTCCACACAATGAAAAAAAAGAGCACAGGTAAAGATAACTATATAGGTAAAAATGAAAGACTGCACATAAATGTATTCTTTTAACATTTGGTATATTTGACTTTGATTTTTTTCTATCTGGTTTAAAAGACAACTGCATAAAGCAATGATTATAAATCTATGCTGATGAGCACACAATATATAACGATGTAGTTTGTGACTATAATAGCATAAGAATCAAAAGTCAAAGCTCTGTAGGAGCAAATTTTTGTATATTATTAAAATCAAGGTGATATCAGAGTAGATTTTTAAAAATTGAGATGTAAATTGTAATCCCCAGAGCAATTGCTAAGAAAATCATTAAAAAGTTACAACATGGGAATTAAAATGGTATACCAGGAAATAACTGATGTTTAACATACAAAAGAAGACAGCAATGGAGGAAGAGTGGAACAAAAATAGATTCAATACATATAGAAAACTTATAGCAAAATGGTATAAGTTTTTCCTTATCACTAAGTACATTTAAATAAGGATTAGCAAAAGGAATTTTAAAAAATTCCAACAACTTGCTACCAACAAGGTACTCACTTTAGTTTCAAAGAAGCAAATAGGTTAAAAATGAAACGTGGAAAAAGATATTCCATGCAAATAGTAACCAAAATAGACTTGAAGACAAAAATTGCTATTAGAGACAAAGAAGGACTTGAAAAGGACATATATGCTCCCCAAAACAGATCCCCCCAAACACATGAAGCAAATAGTGAAAGAACTGAAGGTAGAAAGAGACCATTCAGCAATAATATTTGGAGATTTCAGTACTCCCACTTTCAATAATGGTTACAGAAAAATAAATGAAATTGATATAGAAAAGCAATAGACAAAATCAATAAAACAAAGAGCCTGTTCTTTGAAAAGATAAATAATATTGCTAGATCTCTAGCAGTACTGACAAAGACAGAAAAAGCGATTTACAAATTTTGAACATCAGGAATAAAACAAAGGATATCACTACAATTCTGCAGACATCAAAAGGATAATAAGGGAATCACTACAATTCTGCAGACATCAAAAGGATAATAAGGGAATACTAAAAACAACTCTACTTGCATAAATTTGACATCTGAGACAAAATGAACCAATTCCTCAAAAAGCACAAATTACTACATTTCACTCAATATGAAATAGATAATTTGAATAGCCCTATAACTAATAAAATTCATAAAAGAAAAAACTTCTAAAACAGAAATCTCTAGGCCCAGATGGTTTTACTAGAGAATTCTATCAAACATTTAAAGAATTAACAAAAATTTGACACAATCTCTCCCAGACAATACAAAAAGACATTACAGAAAAAGCAAATTACACACCAGTGTAGCTTATGAATAAAGCTGCAAACTGCATCCAGCAGAACATAAAAATTACATCACACGACCAATTTGGATTTGGCCCACAAATGCAAATTCAACAAATGAAAAATCAATGTAATACACTGTATTAATAGAATAAAAGAAAAAAAATACATGATCATTTCAAGAGACAAAGAAAAAGCAAAAAGAAACAGAAAAATGCTTTCACAATTCAACAAAGTAGGACCAGTAGGGAATTTTTCTTAACCTGATAAAAGGCATCTATGAAAAATCCACATCTAACACCATACTTAACGTGAAAAACTAAAAGCTTTCCCTCTAAAACACAAAATAAGGATCTCTGCTCTTGTCACTTCTAGTCAACCTTGTATTAGAGATTCTACCCAAGCCCATTAGGTAAGAAAAATTAATAAAGGCATCCTGATTGGAGAGGAAAAAGTAAAACTGTCTCTATTTGCAGATGACATGATCTTTATAGAGAAACATTAAAGAATGCAAAAATAACTTACTAGAGCTAATAAAAAAAGTTTAGCAAAGTTGCAGGATACAAGATTAACATGCAAAAACCAATAATTTGTATCTCTATACACTAGCAAAGAACAATCTGAAAATTAAATAAAACAATTCTGTTTACAATAACATCAAAAAGAATAAAATATTTAAAAGTAAATTTATCCAAGGAAGTGCAAGACTTGGATACTTAAAACTACAAAAGAGCATTGAAAGAAATTTCAAAAGATCTACTAAAAAAATGGAAAGACATCCTGTGTTCATGGATTGGAACAGTAAATATTGTTAAAATGGTATCTTAGTTCATTCAGACTGCTATAACAGAATACCACAGGATAGGTGGCTTATAAATAACAAAAATTTATTTCTCACAGTTTTGGAGACTGAGAAATATTAAGGCACCAGCAGATTCAGTGCCTGGTGGGGGCCCACTTGCTGGTTCACAGAGCAGTACAACAGTAAGACCATAGACAAATTTTGCTGTGTCCTCACATAGCAGAGGGTAAAGGGAGCTCTCTGTGCTTTTTTCTAAAAGCACTAATTCCATTCATGAGGGCTCTACCCTCCTAATCTAATTACCTCCTAAGGTCCTCAACTCCTAATACCATCACATGGAAGTTAGGATTTCAATATATGAATTTGTCGTGGGGAACACAGACATTTAGTCTATAGCCAATAGCAATATTCCCCAAATTGATCTACAGATCCAATGCAAACCTATCAAAATTCCAACTGCCCATTTTGCAGAAATGAACAAACTGACCACCAAATTGATACAGAAATGCAGGGGACCCCAAACAGTCAAAACAATCTCGTAAAAGAGAAAAATGAAGATTTGCATTTCTTGATTTCAAACTTAGGACAAAGCTACATTAATCAAGACAGTGTGGTACTGGCATACGGACAGACATACAAGTGGAAATAGAATTGAGAGTTCAAAAATAAACCAATACATCTATGGTCAAATGATTTTCAACAAAGGTGCCAAGATCATTCAATAGAGAAAGAACAGTCTTTTCAACAAATGGTACTGGAACAACTGGATATCTACATGCAAAAGAATAAATTTGGACCCCAACCTCATACTATATATAAAAACCAATTACAAAAGGATCAGTGACTTAAATGTAAAACATAAAATATAAAATCCTTAGACGAAAACAGAAGTATAAATCTTCATGACTTTGAATTAGGCAATGGTTTTTTAGACACAACATCATAAACAAAAGCAATAAAAGAAAAAACTGATAAAGTAGACTTTATCGAAATTAAAAACTTTTATATGTCAAAGAATGCTATCAAGAAAATGAAATGACAACCTAGAGAATAGAAGAAATTATTTGTGAATCATGCATGATAAGGATCTAATATTCAGAATATATGAACTCTATACTCTATTCCTACAGCTCATCAATAAAAATACCAATAACCCAATTAAAAAATGAGGAAAGGATTTGAATAGACATTTCTCCAATGACATACATATGCCCAATAAGCACATGAAAAGATGCTCAAAATCATTAGTTACTCGGGAAGTACATTTCACACACACTAGGATGGCTATAAAGGAGAAAAAAAAAGTGGTGAAGATGTAGAGAAATTGGAACTGTCATACATTGCTATGGGAACGTAAAATGAAAACAGTTGGCCGTTCCTCAAAAAGTTAAACAGAGTTACAATACGTCCCAGTAATTCTATCAACTGATGAATGGATTAACAAAAGTGGTATATCCATAAAACAAAATATTACTCTGCCACAAAAAGAAATAAAGTACTGACACATGCTAAATGGATAAATCTTGAAAACATTATACTAAGTGAAAGAAGGCAGAAACAAAAGGCCACATCTTGTATGATTCCATTTATACCAAAGGTCTAGAAGAGGCAAATCCATAAAGACAGAAAATAGATTAGTGGTTGCCAGGAGATGAGGGGAGGGAAAAATTGGGAGGGGTTGTGAACAGTTATGGGGTTTCTTTTGGGGGTAATAGAGCTAAATATGCACCCCGCCAACATACACCCATACATATCTAGTAAAAGCAGACAGAACTTTTTATTAACTATTTTGAATATGTAAATAATATACATAAGATAAGTTTCTACCCAAAATCAGCTATAATGCCAATCACACTAGAGGTAAATTTTGTGTAAGACTAATTCTGAATAAATACCACTCAAAAGACTTAAGTTATTAATACAGTCACCTCCTGACCTCATGTCCCCTCAGAATAACTTTAAATGAGGCTCTGTGACACATGTAAATGTTGCTTCTCTCCATCACTAGCAGTGATCACGGGCAAAGGTATCTTCTTATGTATGAGTATAACTGGAATGAGATTACTATTCATTTAGTTTTAAGATATACATGATCCTCCACTACTCATGTGGGGAAAACCAGAGATTAGATAAATCTACTTAATAAAACATGAAAATTATATGCTTGTTTAAAAGGAAATGCTTTGTGAATCCAATTGACTTCCTTCCACTTTTAGTAGCATTTATTACTATGACAAGAATCTGGACTAGACTTCAAATCAATAGCTACATTAATTTTTTCAGAATCAAAAGTAACATTTCAGTGCCAGCTGTAGATGTCTGATATGCAAAACAATACCAAAAAAGAAAAAAATTTTAAATTTTAAAAAGCAAAAAAAGGTCTTGCTTTCCTCCACCAGATCTAACCAAAAAAAATTATACTGCACCTTAGCTAACATTTAAGAACTCAAAATGAAAATATTTACGCACAGCAGGCTGGGAAGATGAAGAGGAAGATGGTGTTAAGATACCGATAAGCCCTGAGGTAAGAGAGAGCCTCCTGCCCTCTGCATTAGGTTCCTTGAAAAGCTCAGTTTTGGATGACTTGGGGGCACTGGAGTAAGACTTGCTGAGCAGTTTGTGATTTTTCAGTCCATATAATTCTTCCATTCTGAGATTACTGGAGTAAGACCTGCTTAAGAGTTTGTGGGGCTTCAAGTTGGCGGTGTGCTCACATCGCGGGTCTCCAGAACAAGATCGAGTCAACAGTTTATGCGACTTCAGAGTGAGGCAGTCCTCCTGCTTTACAGCTGCAGAGCAAGGACGGTTCAAGAGTTTGTGCGACTTAATTGTTGTCATTGTCTGCTCAGCCCTGGGATCGCTCGACAGGGAGCGACCAAAGGTCCTGTGCGACTTAGTGGCGCACATGTCATCAGTCTTGACCGTGCTGGAACAAGTCCTCCGCAGCAGCTTATGCGTTTTGGAGATTCCATCTTGCTCAGACTTCAGTTTGGACTTGCTTTTACCACAACCAGGGGGAGGATAACTTGGCGACCTTCAAAATCGAACAATCAATACAGGGCAGAACGTGAGTATAGCAGACCGTGAAGAACACTCGTCATGCTCAAACTCAACTCAACTGTGCTGTAAGTATTTCACTACCTCATTTTAATACAGCCTTCACAGTAAAACTGAAATCAAAGGCATGAGCAGAATAATCACAGGACTTGAATCACATTTTTCCTGAAAAGCAAAAAAGGTTCTAAGATCTTTTTCCCTCTTACCTATCCTGGAATCCTACATGGAACAAATTTTGGTAGAAATAACTCTACTCAATGTGATTAGAAAACAAGGAATGTAATTTTAGAATATTTAACTGATTGATGTGAAGGAAATAAAAAACTCAACACAGAAATGAATATCTATGTAATTGGTGAAATACATGTAACTTGATCCTTTCTTTAAAGTCAAGAAGAAAATAAACACATGCCAAGACCACAGAAAGAATGCTCTAAACTGAATAACAATAGACTATCACATGCTCAGCATTTAGTAAGACAATGAGGAAATCCTCTGTCACCAACCTGCGCAAGGTAGAAAATAAATGCAGGGGAGACTTCACTTTCTTTTCCGACAACTTTTTGTTGTGCAGGCAATTGGATTTTTCCTTGCTCTGTTTCCACTGCTGTGTAACAAATGTCTGCATGATTCTGTCAATCCAAAGGTAATTCTGTTATCACAGTTTCAAGCTACTTTCAATTCATATTTCTGTATTTATTATGTAAAGAATGCATTTATCAAAGAAAAATAAACATACGGTAATCAGTACAATGCTAATTTAGAATAATATGAGATTTTTCAGGTGTGGGAAAGCATCATATAGCAAATTACCAGTACTTTACTATGACTAGTTACATACACCACTGTAACTGATAACAATTATCGATTATTAAAATAGTTAAATTATAATATTACTATGATATAATTAATAATCTAAATGATAGAAGAGATGATAGAAGAATAAGGATATGAAGAGGATTATAAGGACAGCCTTCAGGATCAGTAATTTTAGCTGAAGTGGCAAAAAAAAATTCTGAATTCTTTTCTTGGTGCTAGTAGTACAATTAAAAAAAAAAATTTTGTAAAGTAAAAAGTAAAGCAAAGCCAATTTCTTTCTACTTGATTTGCTTCTGTAATTTTTTTCATGAAAAGGAAAACAAAATAAAACTGTAAAATCGTATGTAAAAATAAACCATGCAAAACTGGCTGTATGTATAAACATGTGGTCAGCAAATTTTATCTTCAGCACTGCCAATTTATCTTTAAAGACACTAATTTTTAAAATTTCTGTATCCTTAAAAGTTTTTAATTACTATCATGAGACAGGAGTTTGGTAACTCCTAATCTCAATATTTTCTATGTCAAGATCACTTCATCAGTTTCTAATGATAAAGAATTCTGGAATGTCAACTGTGGGCCTCGACACAGTGTTGTTTTCTGAAAAGCATTCCAGGCTGGCATACGTTCTCTTATACCATCTTCCACGTGGCAGTGGAGGAGGGTCCCCTTAATGCTATATTTAAGTCGATGTGAAGTTTTACAAGTAAACATTAAGTGTACAATAAATTAAACATTTCAGTTTTTTTTTTTCAAAAATCTCTTCAATATTACCTGTTTTTCATACTTTTTCAGTTACTTGCTTTGGAAATAGGAAAATGGTACCAATATTTGCTTATCAAATACAAAATGCCAGGGAGTAAAATAGAAACTTTACCTATCCCATTTTTCCCTTTAATTCTCAAGGCACCCCCAGAGAGTAGCTATTCTTCTATACATTTCACAAATAAGATAAGGAAATGAAATCTGCCCAAGTTAGCCTGGATAACAGTGTCAGGGCTGCAATGTTTCCGTTACTAAATGAAGGTTGACTATATGTATATATGTATAATGTATGTTATTTAAAAGGGACAGGTGAGAATCTTAGCCCAAGGCCAATTACTAAATTCCTCGAGATCTCCAGGTCTTAACAAACTAACTCAGATTGCCAAAAAGTATATCAAAAGTATTAGGCTTACTATCTCAACCTTTCTTCTGCTAGCTTTGATGAGTTCAGAAAAAGAAGCAGTCATGTATAGAATTATTCTGGGTCCTTTTAGCAGAAATAGTGAGAGGAAGGGGGTAAAACCACAAGAAATGTTGCCATGATTCCAAATTCACAATACATCTACCCTAGAGCACAGGACAAGGAAAATTTTTTATTTTACACTTCATCTTTGAAGGTTTTTTTACCCAAGATTTCAGCAGGACTTAAATGCACATAATAGTAATATTAGGATCATCATTTCTCCCTCTCCCTAACCTGAAATTTCCACTAACACCACCCTTTGTAACCAAGCAGCTCTGGATTATTTTCCTCCCCTGACAAATTGCTCTTCCTGTGTACTATTCCCTAGGAAAGCTGGAAAATGCTTAACTAATCTTGGCAAGCTAACTGGACCAAAAATTTAACAGTTCAAAATAGCTAAAATTTTTACCACTTTCAAATTACATTAGCATTCTAAAGTGTGACATCAACATCTAAAATTAGTAATTATTAAACTTGGAAAAGGAGTAAACTGTTTCCTCTGACATTTAATGTTGTGTTTAATTTCAGTGGTAACCTAAAGTACATACATGAGCACATTTGAGATGACAACCACCCCTCATAACAGTCATGATAAGATTTCACTATTTACATAGGAGTTTGTGTTTACTATTGAGCTGGCACCAAGAACTACTACAATTGCCACTAGCTGATGATGAAAGAGGAGAAAAAGATTTGAAGGCAAACTGTACACCCCCATCAGGTAAAGAGTAGATGAGGGCACAGTCAGCTATATGAACAAAGGTTCCAGAGTAGTTTAAACAGAGAAAAGAGAGTACATGTGGCAATAAAATGATTTTCTTCCTGCTGATTTCAAAAGACCATGTACTAGTGAAACCAGTATTACATTCAAATTGCAGTGATGAAACAGCTTCAGCAAAGTGACATCAGGCATCAAATTCAATGAGTAATATTAATTTGAATTTTGAGTGCTCTATTTTGATTTCCATTAAACTTATAAATTGAATTTGGTTTTATAAATGTGGAACTCTAAACATAAAGAATTTATACCTAATTTGACATTGGATATATTTAAGGGAAAACTGGAGATTTGCAATATTTTTCCTCCTTTAAACAAAACTTAAGTTTGATCAATGCAGACTCAACAGAAAGTCATACAAAGATTGTTTCCATTATCTGTGACATGCTCAGCCTTTGAGTGATAGATACCCTCTATGAGACTGACCACTAGATCTGTTTAAGGCCAGCAATAAGAAAATATGTAAATATTTTTTCTACTAAGCTCTTTTATTGATTTCACATTCTCCCAATATACATTCAATGCCAAATATATGTTCCACATCTTATATAAGGCAAAGAAATATCTAGGATTATATGAGAGGCAGATAAGTGTATGGGTTAAAAGTATTGACTTGCAACCAAATTCTGGTTCTATCACTTTCTCACTGGGCCTCAGTTTCAGTATCTAGGAAATACGATTGTAACAGTACCTGCTTCACAGGGTTGTTGTAAAGATTAAGTGAACCTCTAATATATGAAAGCACTTAGAATAGTGCCTGACATACAATAAGCACTGGGTAGACACTTGTTGCTGCTATCGTTAGGACTCTGTCCTACTGCCTGAAACATACCAGAATAAAACTTCACAGAAAAAGTATGTGCCCCTTATTTACAGAAAACAAACTGAAGCCAATAGCGAAGGGCCTAAATTCTAAACCTGCCTCCCTAACTTGCTGTATGTTCCTGGGAAAATAACTTTTTCATATTTCAATTTCTTTGATGAATTACTATGAGGATGAAATCAGATTTTCAAAATCATGTAATTTTAGACTTGAAGGGACCTTATAGATCACAGCCAAATCCAGTTATTTACAATTAAGAAAACTTAAACATCTGTCAAACTAAAACTTATCAAGAATAATTTAAAAACCCTCTAGTCTCTATTAACAAACTTACCACATAGCTAAACTTTATCCCTAAAAGCACACAACTTTTTAAAAACAATAATCATTTGGCTAGGAATATTAATAAAATACATTACATATTCTACTAGGTACTTAAACAGTGAAAACAGCTTTCTTTAAATTCTCTGGGTTAGAATTATATACACAATTTTTTATCTGAGCATCCATATGATGTACTGAGAAGCCATTAAGGGTAGAAAGATAGTTATTCCTAGACTTCTGTGCTTTTGTAATTCTTATTTTGTTTTGATCAACCCTAACCCACTTAAAGAAAAAAAAGTTCTTCACAAAGAAAATGATTAAGTTTTGTAATGATGAATATGCTAATTACCCTGATTTGATCACACATTGTATACATGTATTTATAGTCAACTCTGTAGGCCACAAATATGTATAACCAATACATTTCAATAAAAAAAAAAGTTCTAAAAAGTACATAAAGTAAACAGTATAAAAACAAGGGAGGAAATTAGGTGTAGTAAAAATCACAGAAAAGACCCAACTTGGATGGTATAAGGTAGAGGCAGGCTCCACACTCATCTCCAAGACATGAAAGATATAGGCTCAATGCAGGAAACAAAATTCAAGTGAAAGACAAAACCAATTGCACTGGAATGACCTACCTAAACATAGAACAGAAAACTTGGAGAAAACTTCTCTGAGTCCTTACGAGAGAACACTGCGTAATAATATAATGTGCTAAACATGTGTTCTAAATTGAATTTAGTTTTAGAGATAGGGAATTCTAAACCTTAAGGTTTATTATCTAATTTATATATGCACATATTTAAACCCAACACTGAGGATTTACTTTTTTTTTTTTTTTTTTTTGTCTTTTTTCGTGACCGGCAACAGATCGCAACCCTCAGTGTCGCGCCTGTACCGGGCCAGGACCGGCAACGGGATCGCAACCCTCGGTGTTGCTCCCGCACCTCGCTCAGCCAGTGAGCGGCCGGTCTGTATGTGGGATCCGAACCCTCGGCAGGAGCGCCGCCACACTTCCCAAGCGGCGCACTGTAGCAGTGCGCCACCGGGCCAGCCCTACTGAGGATTTACTAAAATTTTTTTTCCCTTCCAATTGTAGTCCACACACAACTCATATCTTGGCAATGCTAACTCAATTCAAAGTCATAAAAACTTGAGAGAATTCTAGAGCTCTGTAACACATATGACCGTAGAAATCACACAGGAGTCTCCTGCATCAGGCAAAATGACCTCAGTAAGTTCCCTACTTAGTAAATGAAATAGATGGTTTCAAAGTGTTTTCTCTTAGAACATTGTTCAGTAAAGGCCGAGAGATGATGCCAAATTAAAATTCATTAAAATAAAAATGAACATGTGGATAGTATCATTATGAACCTAAGCCACGTATTTAAATATACAATTACCTAATTGTCTCTCTTGATAAATGTAAGTTTAAGTTAAATTTGCAGATTTGAAAGGATAATCCTTCAGGAATTCTCTATAAACACAGTCTTAAAGCTGGATTTTGATAAGCGTATGATTTATTGTTTATATTCTGACCAGGACTATTTAAGATATGTGCTTATGTTCTAAGTCAGTTCAATTGAGGTAATTTTATGTCCTCTCATGAAAAGTCAAGGCCCATCCAGACTCTACGTCCGAAGAGAAAGCCGCATTTCCTCTGCGTGGAAGGTCGCCAAGGGGAACATGTGGCCAGCATCAATACTTTCTTCAGGGAAGAAACAAGTATGCTGGAGACTGACCAAAACACGGCAATGGGCCCCAATGGTCTATGCTTTAGATCTCACCAGTGATCATTTGATTTCAGAAAAAGTCAGAAGTGAATTCTTGTGTCTATAAATTACCACTGTTCTTTTTCTAATATAAAAGGTCATTTCTTCTGCTGCCATTCTATCTGGCTCTGTCAGTGTTTTCTCTTTCTGTTTCTAAAAAATAGATTTTTATATAAAATAGCCTTAAAAATCAGAAAACAAAAGCCAATTAGAGTTGAACAAATGGGAAAATCATCAGCAAGCCTCTTTGAGATTTTATGAGGCAATGCTCAAGAGATTCATCATCGTTTCCCAATGTTTAAAATCTATTATCATTTGTTTCTACTTCATGTCTATTAAAAATACCAAAGTGTGCTGGAATCCTAGTGACTACATAAACATAATGCCACATGCGCCAATAATAATAAAGAATGTATCTGCCTACTCGAATTAATTATATCATACTATATTTTTGGAGGACCAAGTCCATTTATAAAAGATAAATTGAGTCACTATACTAATCAAAGTCCAGGTAATAAACAAAGCATTTATTTACAAAAGAAAGGTTTCAAACGTTTACAGTAGCCCAAGGCCAGTGCCAACTCTGGGCCCCAAGGAACAGTCAGTGAGAAGCATCAATAGAACTGGTAAGAGAGCAAGTCATGCAAAAACTGCAGCCTGGAGCAGACCAGGAAGTTTCAGTTGAAGGACTGGTCAGCTCAAGGTTACCTCCCAGGGAGGAGACCATCATACTCCTCTCCCTTCCTCCTTTCCTTGGTCACATCAGAGATGCAAAGACCTATATTCACACAGGTCAGCCTCCCCGGGTGAGTGCAGGGTGCTGGAGGGAAGAGGGCATATCCGAGGTGGCAAATAAAAAGACCCTGGCCCAGGCCAAGAAAGGGAGCTCTGCTAACTATACTATCAATGCAGCTTTTAGCATCAGCCTGGTTTCTCCTCCTTAGGCGCTCACTTCAAAACCCTTCTAATAAATAGAAATTTTTTAAATTCAAAAACAAAAAACAGAGCAAAATGAGAACTCAGTTCTCTTTAACAGAAATTTATGTTTTTATTCTTCGGCAAACGTACTTTTTCAGCTGATGTCCCAATCCAAACCGCTCTTTTGTGGAAATCTGAAAGACATCGACAGTGGGCACTGGAAAAGGAAAAAAAAAAAAAATCATAGTCAAATACTGACTTAAAACTCCACCATCAGCCAGGAAAAGTATTAGCACCAAAGTATTAGTATATATGTGTGTATACATATACATGCTTAAAAATAGTGTACATACAGTCCTATCCGTCACTATTTATGCTATACATATATATGAGATCATTACTGGCCATTATATAATATATATTAATGTATAATATCTGTATATGTAAATGTATATGTATAATTATGAAGACTGATTCCAAAATAAGCAATAACTTAAATAGCCATGTGTAGGAGAGTTAGTACAGTATTTTTTAAGTGTAAGAGAGACATATGTTTGTATATACATACACCATTTTTAGAATAAAACAATAGGAGATAGAGTAAATCATTGAGCATCTAATTTTCATTGTATACCCTCTTGTGCGGCTCATATTTTTACCAGGTATAAATGAGGGTTTTTCTAAAAGTTCATGGAAAAATAAAATTAAAAGATAACATGAATCTTTCCATGAACTTTTTGAAGTACCCCCATATGTTCTTTAAATCAAAAACTATAATGTTTATGAAATTAAGAAATTTTCCCAAAGAAGTCACTTATCATTTATTATTCACTGCTTTAAAGGGTATTGTGTGCCCACTGTGCCAGTCACCGTAGACAGAAGAGCAAAACACACACACACACACACACACACACACACACACACAAATATGCCTGCCCCATGAAGCCTGCAGTCTAGTGGGAGTAGACACAGGAAAAACAGGTAAGAAAACTGAAACGATGTTAAATGGTGACAAAGGTTCTGGAGAAAAATAAAGAGGGGAAAGAGTATGAGGAATGCAGTGTATGTGAGCAGAAAATATTCTCAGATATTCTAGGAACAGCTGGAGACCAGTGTAGGGAAAGGAGTGAACAAGGTATCACATTAGGAGATGGGAACAGAGAAGGATGATGGATGGGACTGTGTAGGATCTTTTGCTCAAAGGGCAAAGCGAGAAATAGTAAAATCCATCAGGTACTTATTGCAGTAACTGAGGCAAGATATATAGTGGCTTGGATCAGTGGAGGTGATTAACATTTTGGATTCATACATTCTAGGAGGGCTGATAGATTTCACTGATGAACTGGACTTGAGGTGTGAGAAATCAAGGATGAATCCAAGGATTTTGGTCTAAGCATCCAGAAGGATGAAACTTACCAACTCTTCCTATGTGAAAGACTGGAGAAGGAACAGGTTTGAAGAGGTGGAGAAGATTGGTTATTGGACTTTAAATATTTTAAATTTGACACGTTTATTTGACACTCAAGTGAAAAAGTTAAGTAGGCATTTAGAGGCATAAAGGTGAGAGGAATGTACTAAATAAACAAATTTGGAATAGTCAGATACATATGTATTTAAAGGCATGAGGCTGGATGTAAACCACTCAGTGAGTGTGGAGGAAAGGAAAAGTCTGAGAATTATGCCCTGAGCCCATGGGTATTCAGACGCTCAGAAAAGAAAGCTGGAGAGGAGCAGCTAGGAGGATGGAAGATTCTAGGTTCCTGCTGATGTGGACACAAACAGAAGTTTCTCAAGGAGGAGGTAAGCATCTTTTATCAAATACCACGAAGTCAATTAAGATGAGATCTCAACTGGGTCAAGGGGTCATTTTAGCAATATGGAAGTCACTGTTGACATTGACAAAAGCAGTGTTTGTAAAATGATGGGAGCAAACCCTGAAGAGCAGATTTTAGAGGAGAAAAGAGGAGCAAAAATGAAGCTAATAGAGACAACTCTAATCAAGAAATTTAACAGTCAAGGGAAGCACAGCATTAGGGTACTAACTCAAGAGGGATTTGAGGTCAAGAGGGTTGTTTTTTGTTTTAAAGTGACAGAAATATTTGCTTGCTGGTGGGAATCCTTTGGGGAAAAAAAAAATAAATAGTACAGGAAGGAAAGGGAGAATTGCACGAATGGCGTCTTAGGTGAAAGAAGACAGAAATGAGTGTGTAAATGGAAGGATGACTTCACAGAGGAGCGCAGATAGTGCCATTCACAGGAACAGTTGGGACAGCAGCTAATTAGGGGAAAGACTGCCTTGCTAGTAGGACATTCTCAGACCACACATGCTCCACACTGTAAACCAAAATGGTATCCCCACATTGCCTCGCTCGCTGTGTTGGCCATGCAAACACTCCATTGATCAAGCAAGTGTGTTGTTAGTACCCCCAATCAGTTCCATTCTTAAGAACCCCCTCATCTTTGTGTAGACAATGAGGAAGAGGGTGGACATCACTCCAACCCCACCTGCCCCAAACCCAGGGTTGCTGACTTTTAAAAGTCAATAAAAAATTCTAATATTTTTTAAAGAAAAAGATGACAAAATAAGAACATACTGCTCTCTCTCTAAGAAGATTTAAGAAGACAATACCTTCCCAGGCACACATAAAAGTGACTGGGAAGATGGAGGCAGAGAAAGAAAAGGGACCTGGCTACAAAAAAAGTAGAAAAATCTAAAATGCACTAAAAAAAACTAAAACCTTCACTGGAGGAAATTGTATAAGACGAGATAATAATAGATACAAACGTTTGTCCACAATATATAAATTATTCCTACAAATCAATAATACAAAGACCAAAACTTAATCACAGTATGCATTTAATGTATTATTGTAAGATGGACTGTATGGGAACTCTGTACTATCTTTGTAATTTTTCTTTAAATCTAAAAACACTTTAAATTAATTTTTAACAATGTTTTTAAAACTTAATAGTTTTGTGATAACCAATAATAATGAGTTAGAAAATACATTGTTATATAAAAGTCTTATTGAGCTATTAAATACTCAGGAATAAACTCAGCTAAACTTAGTGACCTAAGCCCCCCCCAAAATACAGAACTGTACTGATACATGAAACTAGAAATTACAAAAAAATGTTCTTTTATAAGTTTACCCCAAATGCATTCAAATTCTCTATAGGGTTCATTTTTGAGGGCAAGAAAATGAGGAAGAACTTGCAGAATGTACTAGTAATATATTTCCAGGTTTTTAAAGAAGGTAAAAGTTACTCAATCTTTCCCTGTCTCTCATATAATATCAGTTGGCAAGTGAGCCCAAAATACGTGGAAATTATTCTAACACTCTTGCTATGGGTTAAATGTATCCCCCACAGGTTCATATATTGGAAACCTGACCTCCATTGTAATAGTATTAAGAGGATGGGAAATCCTATTATGGTTATTGAAAAGTGGGGCCTTTTAGAGGTGATTGGGTGGGTCCTGAGGGACCCATATGAATGGATTAATTTACTGATGGTTTAATGGGTGGTAATGAGTATGGTTTTGATGGCTTTTAAAGGAGAGGAAGTGAGAAGGTTAGCTCTCTATTGGTCAGGCCATTCACCACGTGACACTCTGCATCACTGTAGAGAGTCACCACCCACAAGAAAGCCCTCACTAGATGTGTTCCTTGGACTTTGGATTTCCCAGACTCTGAAACTGTAAGAAATAAATTTCATTTCTTTATAAATTACCCAGTTTCAGGTATTCTGTTATAAGCAACAGAAATGGACTAATACAACTCTGATCATGTAAGCAGAGGTACAAATAATAAGATCTGCACAGAAAAAAATCTTAAAATAATTTTTAGCTCCTTATCATTTTAATTTCAAAATAGCTTTTTCCTTGAGATCAGAAACTGAACTCATATCAGCAATTCTGAAAAAAATATACGTATTATCATGACAATCATAAAAAATTATATCATTTCTTTACTTAAAGTATATTTCCCCATGTACAATAAAAATAATCCTTATCTTTAATTTCAAAGTGGATGCAGGAGTGTATTTCTTCAATTCTTATCATTTCTTGTTCACTCAGACATATTGTCAGATTAGCCCTAGCCAAATATGGTATTTCAAATAAGAGTTATTCATATATTTCCAAAACATAAGAACAAATGCTTTTCAAAAAGAACTGTTAAGGGCCGGCCCAGTGGCGCACTGGATAGTGCGCCGCTTGGGAAGCGCGGCGGCGCTCCCGTCCGAGGGTTCGGATCCCATATACAGACCGGTTCCCGCTCACTGGCTGAGCGAGGCGCGGGAGCAACGCCGAGGCTTGCGAGGGCCGGCCCGGTGGCGCACTGGATAGTGCGCCGCTTGGGAAGCGCGGCGGCGCTCCCGTCCGAGGGTTCGGATCCCATATACAGACCGGTTCCCGCTCACTGGCTGAGCGAGGCGCGGGAGCAACGCCGAGGCTTGCGATCCCGTTGCCGGTCCCCGGTCCGGTACGGGGGCAACACTGAGGGTTGCGATCCGTTGCCGGACACGGAAAAAAGACAAAAGACCAAAAAAAAAAAAAAGAACTGTTAAGTAGGTCAGTCTAAATCTTGGATTAGTCATACATTTTTTTCAAGTTCATTTTACTATAAATGCTGATATCTTCAAAGACACATTGCAAAACACTCTTCACAAAATATTTTCTCACCTTTTTATTTGCTTGCAATAATCCAAATAATAAACAAGCATGAAACCTAATTATTTATTCTGAATAATAAAATATATGTTCCTTTTTAATAACGTCTCTAGTTCTAGTCATATATTATTGCCCACCTTAAATCACATTTTTTCCCTCAGATTTTCAACTGGAAAAAAAACCTTTGGGGGAATTTACTAGTAAGTTAGCAATGAAAGTAAATACAAGTCCCATTATGACCAGTGCATTATAGAAATAGGAAAAAAACCCAGCAAAATGAACAGAAACTTGGAATATTGCATCCTCACGTGACAAACTTGTAGGAAATTTTGCCACAAACAGAGCAAATGGAACCAATACTGAGGAGCCCTAAAGGACTGGTCCAAAACACCCAATTCTCTGAACAAGGTGGAAGCTAAAGACCAGCCAGTACTAACGCATCTCAGAACAAGGGGCTAAATGAGCCACGAAGCAGCGAGTACACTCCAGGGCAGTCTCCTCCATGACGGGCAGTGCAGGGAGCAAGGGGCTGGCCGGGGAGGTTCCTCCCTGGCAGAGGTTGGCCTCCTTCTTGACCCGGACCACCATCTTAGGTCAAATTCCCTCAGAAGCAGACCCTGAGTGAAGATTTGGGGGCAAATAATTTACTAGGAATTGCTCTCAGTAGAAATCAATAATGAAATGTGAGGAGGGGAGAAGGATAGGGAAAAGGAAAAAGCCAACCAAGGGTACAAATTCAGGTGAAGTCCCAGCTTCAGCTGCATCCTGTGGGTAACACTGGAGCATATTTTACCCCTCAAATTTGCCTGAGGCAAAGTAGTTAGGCCGCTGAACTCCCACCAGTCACACCTATGGCGGGCAAGTGGGGAGGCCCAGGAATGAAGACTCCCCAAGTACTTACCTCTCTCGCCAGGAAAGAGAAAACTCATTTGTCTAAGGACAAGCTACTGAAGTCCCAAGCGTGAGCTATTAGCAGCAAAGTGTGCAGAAGCTGAGGGACAGGAGCACAGAGCTGGGGAAAGGTGTCTGAGGGGACAAGGCGAAGCATCAACAGAGTTCACAGCCCACCCCACTCCAGCCGTCAGACCTCAGAACCGCTGGATCGAAAGCAGAGTAAATGTAGAATTCTCTTTTTTTTTTCCTTTTCTTTAATGGAAATTACCCACAAATCACACCAATTCCTGAAATAAGTGCATTTCAACTTCTATTTGAATATAATATTAAGGAAAAGAAAATTCCATCTATAGCAATAAGATGATAAATCTCAGACTATTACTGATCGATGTTCACAGCAAAATTTAAAATGATGCTGAGTAAATGAAATGAACGCAAGTGATGATAAAGAGAGAACAATACGGAATGAGTAAACAACATGACAAAATTAAAAATACAACAGGAACATTAAATGCAAGACTGAAATCACAAAAAAAAAATTTAAATTCACTTAATCGAGAAGACAGATTGGAAAAATTTACAAAGTACTGAGACATGAAGGATGAAAGAATGAAATAAACATGGAGGACAAAGGAGTGAGATCCAATCCACATATACCAAGACTAGAAGGTAAAGAAGGAACGATAAAAAATAACGCAAAACTTTCTTGAGATGAATTAAGACCAGGTACACCAAGCAAAAATAAATACATAAAAGATAAGAGAGTACTTCAAAAAGTTTGTGGGAAAATGGAATTAAAAGATAATATAGGGCTGGCCCGGTGGCGCACTGGAGAGTGCGCCGCTTGGGAGTGTGGCGGCGCTCCCGCCGAGGGTTCAGATCCCATGTGGAGACCGGTTCCCGCTCACTGGCTGAGCGCGGTGCGGGCGCAACACCGAGGGTTGCGATCCCATTGCTGGTCCCCGGAACGGGCACGACACCAAGGGTTGCGATCCCGTTACCGGTCGGTAAAAAAGACAAAAAAGGAAAAAAAAAAAAAAGATAATACAAATCTGACCATGAACTTTTTGAAGACCCCTCATATTATCAGGGAAAGGAAGAAAAAAATGGCCTAACAAGTACACAACAAAACACAAACAAACTGCAACAGATTTCTTACGAAGAAACAAAATGAAAACACATCACACACAAATTAGCAGAAGTTTCTAAAGCATTTTTGCCTTTTGCGGGGGAACTATTATGACCCCACAAATTTCACTTGGTCAAGAGTTTGCTTCATTCACAAAATAAAAAGTCATTCTCGGGTGTGAAAAACAGCATAACCCTCAGGTTTCCTTGGTTTACAAATTGTTAAATAAGTAAATCAACTAATAAAGATGAAAAAAAGAGAAAGGATGAGTTATGGTATAAAAGAAGTGATACTGAACAATAAAATCATCTAAAAGTGGATTAAAATGATTGTTAGAATAATTCTAAAACCGTGTACAAAAATCTTGAAAGAGGTATTGTGAAAGAAAACCTCAGCCTAAAATTCAAGATTGCATCAAAAAGTATCTGTGGTAAGATTACATAATAGCATGCGACATTAACACCTCACACAGATGGGGTTTGGATGAGTAGAGAGTAATTGACCCGATTTCATTCCTAACCCTGAATGTTAAAAAATAAAATGTTCAGACATGAAATATTCTTTTTCTTTTAATCACCATCAAAATAAAATCAAATGGGCACATTTCATATCACTAAAGTTAAGAAAAAAGTTAACCATATGGCAGAATATGTGGGGAATCAGCTAAAACACATGCACCTATAGGCTGGAATAGTGTGCAGATATAACAAATCACTCCTTTATAGATTACTTAATGATTTGAGGACAGTCTTATCACATAATATTAATGTGCATAGCTATTTACACAATTCAATGTCAACCTTATGAAAATAAACCATACATACATAGAAAACAGAAATAACATTTACACTTTTCTCAGTATAGAGAAATTATGAGTAATTTTTTATTACATTTCTATATATTTGAAATAATCAGAATAAAAATATTTAACATCTATTTATTGTTGTGTGGCATTAAATCACATCAGTTAGTATATATTATTTACATTGAGTCAATTAACTTAAATAGAATGTATTATGAAAAATAGAAAATAGGTAACTAATTTTCAAAATAAAAGATTTTGCTGCATTTTATAAATTTGAAAGGACAAGTATTTTTCTTATTTGAAAACTAAGAGTCTGTTCCTTGATATGCTTAAAGAAAATGTGCAGACACCACAGTAACTGTGTGGCAGATTAAAAGACGGCCACGACTTTGAGCTGTGCTATCTATGTTCCCCCACCCCTTGATTCTGGGTGGGCTCTTTGCTTTGATCAAGAGAATACAATGGAATATCCCCTGTGCATTTTCCCAGTGGCTTCCACATCCTGTCTCTTGAAACACTTGATGTTGGACTCCAGTCACCATGGTACAAAAACACAAACCACATGAAGAAGCCATGCATAAGGTAGGTACTCTAGTCAATACCCCTCACTGAACTCCAAGATGACCCCTGCATCAACTGCAAGCCATCTGAAACTCCAGCATCTGTGCACACCAGCCCCACCCACCATCTGACTGCAAAGTCATGGGAGACTCCAATCAGCAACTGTCCAGTTGAACCCAAATAACACTGTGAGAAAATCAATGTTTTGTAGCTACTACTAAGTTTTTGTTTGCAGTTTGTTATGCAGTGTAAATAACTGGAACAAATAGGAGTAGATACAATTTTGTGTGTGTGTGTATGTGTGTGTGTATTAGTAGGCAGGGGAAAGCATTTTAACCCACTTAGTTAAAAGACTTATTATAGGGTCCTTTGTTGTAAATAGCTATTAGTTGAAATATAGCAACATCATCCCTGAAGGATTCAAAAAACAAAAATAATATTATGATTTCTATTCTCAAAAACAAAAATATGTTACATTTAGTTAGGCCAATAGCCAAAGGTGGGATAAATAAACATTAAAATTAAATTTCAGAATCAGACAGAGAAATGATTAAATCTAAGGTCAACTCAAAATATATTTACTGAGATCCTGTATGCAAAGTACTCTTCTGGGTTTTATTGTGTTGTTTCACAGAATCTTGGCAATTTCTGAAAATCTATACAAACAAATATTATATGTTTCTGTTTCCAAACTTATGCTGGCAATAAACTATCTTTCATAGGATGCAAGCTTTTTAAAAATATCGTTATCAAAGTATTTAGCAATTATACTCAGAATTACCAAATAACACTTATTTCGCTTAAGGTGCAGTGCACAGTAATTAATATTCAAAATAATAAACAGAAAAATAAAACTAACCTGGGCCATTTAAATACTGTGTAAGTGAACAGTGCAGTCGGACAATTATAGGTTCCGTTCGAATTACTTCCCACGCCACAGCAATCTCCTCCTGCACAAATATGTTTCAAAGATGAATTAGTCATCTTTTAAAATTCAAAATGAAAAAAAAAATCTTTTAAAATTTTTGTTAAACAAATGCATAAATCATGAAAGCCTTCAAATTATCTCAAAACCCACTGTTGTCGGAAAAAAGGCCAATGTACTCAATTTTTGCCTTCTACATATGAAAAATAAAAGCGAAATCTAAAGATATAACAAAGCACTATAATAAGAGCCTAAAATTCAGAATATATTAAAAGAACCAAGGCAAAAGAAAAAATGTATACATTCTCTGCTTCTTTGGTGACTTTCACAAAACCAATTTTGTAACTAATATCATAAGACAACTGAATATTAAACTTCTTCCTGGAATAAAAATAAACGTATTTTAAATGTACCAGTCATATTACATAAATTGATACTTACATCAAGAAAGCTAACATCAATATGCAGATCAATATCTACATCATCAATGGCTCCATATTCCCTGAAAGCAAACATTAACATTAATATTTTCATTTTCCTTAAAAGATAGTGTGTGCTAGGTTATTTTAACTAAAAATTCAATCACTAATTCTCATCCCTGGTTTCTACAGATAGCTCAGAATTGACTGTGGACATGAATTAACTGACTGAACCTAGTTGGATTTTCATTTTTTGTGGCCCATTTATACCATACAGACATCTTTCTTTCTTTATGTACATGCACATGCACACATAAAATCAAGAATTGGTTGGTTCACAGTTTCGAACATTCCCAGTTCTTTGTGGCAAATTTCTCAATCTTCCTACGTGACTGCTTTCTTTACATTACACTTTCTGAGGATGAAAACCTGCTTCTAAGGTCAAGAAAAGAGTTCCCAACACAAAGAAGGAGCATAAGTAGGGACACACAATAATGTGTCCATGAATTTTCCTTCCAACTTAGTCATCAGTGGCTCTGACACTGATCCAGGTGCTCTGCCACTTGGATGCCACTGTATTTTGATAGGAAGCTCTCAAAGTCTGATAAATCAAAATTAAAACAAATAACTTCAGTATGTTCCAAACGCCTGAAGGCCTTATCAAGACCGACTTTCGTACAGCCCACGTAGTGCCATGAACCAGCATATTTCTTTGAGTTAATAGAAGGCTATAAAAGCAGCAGTTTTTAATATTCTCCAGATGCATCTATATTTTTGATATTCCTATAAAGTTTGGAAGTTATAAATGCTATACAAAGTGAGAGATAAAACCCCAGAAATAAGTGAAATGATAAAAGTTAATGGTCAATGTTTATTGAGTAATTATGTGCCAGAAATTTTCTAAGGATGTCACATCCATGTGATATTTGATACTCACAAAACCCTATAGGTACTATGACTATATCCACTTTACACATGCATAGACTGAGAGCCAAAGTAATAAAGTAATCATCACTCTGTAAAAGAGGTGGGACTTGAATACATGTACTCTAGCTGTTTATGCATGCATGAAATTGGTTCAGTATTCAAGAAAATATCACTTTGTGTTGGAAACCAGGTCAAATGTTAATGGATGATCTCATTAAGTCCTCATCACAGTCCTGTGTGGTGGATAATATTCCAATATTCACTTTGCAAACGGAAGATAAATCAGTGGGGCAGTTAGGAATGGAATTCACGTCCAACTTCAAAACTGTGTAAAGTGCAGTAACTAGCACACAGTAAGTACTCAATAAAAATTTGTGTACTATATATTCAAGTAATACAATATAATACATATTTGTGACACTTTTATAGGGTTCAGAGAAGAAATTTTTCATGAGTAGTTTTACGTAATTTAATGAATAAAAGCAATCCAGAAAATATTTTAGCTTTTTGATATCTATGATTTTTAAAAAAGCATATTAGAATAAAACTTAGCCCCTGTGCTTTCTCCATTCTCCCCTTTAAAAATATATTAAAACATTAAGCACATGTTAGTTTTTTACAAAATTGTACTTTTTTTCCTTTCAATCTTTTTAAAGATTAAATAAAAGGATAAGTTATTTACATAGAAATTAATTTTTAAAACCTATCAGAGCACCATAACTTCTGTGCTATTCATAAAGGATATGCATCATCTTATCCTTTATGAATAGCACAGAAATAAATAAAATTTAAAAAAGAAATTGTACAGAAAGGATGACCAAGCAAATGAATCATTTCTTTTATGCCTGTAGTTTGGGGTACAGCAAACTTTTTCTGTGAAGGCCAGGATAACTATTTTCGGCTTTTCGGGCCACATACAGTCTCTGACCCATATTCCTCTCTATTTTTGTTGGGGTGTTTTTTTAGGGGGGCAGAAGGAGCACAACCCTTTAAAAAGGGAAAAACCATTTGTATTTCATGGGCTGTTCTAAACAGGCTTTAAGACCCAGTGGTCATAATTTGACAACCCTGAACATCAGCAAATAATTCATAACTATATTAGATCAAATATCCATTGTTTGGCATGAAAAAAGAGCCACTAAATGCAACAATGAAGAAAGATGACAAATGACGTTCAAGAGAAGTTTTGGGGGGATGAAAAGGCCTTGACTACGCTGCCCCACTTACAGGAGTCAATCCTAAGAAAATAATAATAAGTATGTGCAACCCTTTACGTAAATTGATGTATGTAAAAGCAGAAATTGAAAATAAATTGAATATTAAATATTAAAGAAATATTTAAATAAACCATAGCATTTTGACATGATAAAAAGTTAGCCATTGATAAAGAAGTTGTTATAAAGATATTTAATATCCTGGGGGGAAATGTTCCAAACATACTATTTACTGAACAATCAGATTACCAAAAGAACATGAAAACTAAAAGGACCTTTTAATGAAAATAGAAATAGGAAAATTTAAAAAGTATTCAGATACTAACTATAAATTATGTATAAAACTTTACTAAAAATGTTGTATATTTTCTAAAAACATATACCTACTTCTTCCAAATAGAAAGATATAGGCTCAGTATATAAAATGTGAGAAACAGAAAAATACACAAAAAATAATTTTGAATACCACCATTCAGAGATAATTCTTTTTGCTCTTATCTCATACCAGTCTCTTTCTTAAATACAAAAAAATATGGTATATAAAGATTTCTGTCTTGTTCTTTCACTTATACTATGAACAGTGTTTTTCTATACTTTAGAAATATTCTTCAAGACCACGAATTTAAATGGCTATATTTATAAAAATAGAATTGCCTGACAAAATATTTGGTTGCTTTTGACTTTTTTACACTATAAATATCCCTCTGGATAAAAATCTATGTGCACTGTCTTCTCATAGAATCATATCTAGAATTACTGAATCAAATAGTATGACTATATTTGGGTTTCTTAATACATATTGTCTAATTACTGTTTTAAAAGGTTAAAACAATCCATGATTATACCAGCCAGCTTATGACAGTGACCATTTCCCACATTCTCATCATCACCAGGCATTTCTACCCCTATTTTTGCCAATTTTATTGGGGAGAATGACTTTAGTTTGAATTTATTTACATTGGCAAGACTTTGGTATGTTTAGAGGCAGAGAGAAGAGAATCAGAGTACAGAAAAATCACAATTTGCAATAATAAATATGCTAATAATTAAAATTAAAATTAAAAAAAGAAAGGAATCAGAGATAACAAAAATCAGTACGAACCTTAGCCACAACTGTTTTCTCCATAAATAATTTTCCAGACCATTTCAACAGAATTTGCCATAAAAATATGATCAGAATATGACATAAATGCTTTTAAAGCCTTTACTATGTGAATTTTGAATTACTCTCTATATAATTTCTTAAATAATCTTTTGGTTAAGAGTTAGTATCTTCCCAATTTCTAATGCTATCAATTTCTTTCTAAAAAGCAGGGAGGTCGGGGTGAGATAAAGGATTACAATTGCTCTTCCTCACCATAGCAGAACATGAATACAGAATTTTAAGGAGGCAGAGGCCCTAAAGGTTTGCAATTAACTGGATTCTGTAGGTGTAGACCTGTAAATAGTTACACTTTTTTTGTTGTTTTATGCCACACTTCAAAGAATTCACAAACGACCCTGTGTATGTGCAAACCCATTTCCCGTTTTGTGATGCCCTTTTTATATAATGCCAGTAATTTCATGTTTCCCACTGAGAGATTACAAAGCATGATTACAGTTTGTCCAGATGCTGCGACCCAGTCATCAGGATTGCTTCTATATCTGAATAACTTTCAGCAGCCCAAGATCTCATGAATAGCAAATGCAGAATCAAGTCAAATGCTTGAAATATGAATGCAACTTGAACTGAGAAGCTAGATATCTGATTGTGTCCTGAATACACTATTGGGTTTTGGTTTATAATAACTCAAAATAATTTCATGTGCTGCTATACTTATTCACTATGAAAAGATCACATCAAATTGACTTTTTTTCTAAGACGAGGGAGACAACATAGAAATAATCTGATGTAGTCTCTTCATTCTAGAACTGAGGATCTGAAAAGAACTGCCCCACACATGTTCTTTCCTAACATCTAGTAAAACTTCAAATTCCAGTTGAGCTACTCTTTGAATCTACAAATCTTGAAAATTGGTAATTTGATTTTGGACATTTACATGTAACCTAGTTTTTTTAAGCACATATGTATAAAATATCTTTTAATGGGACAACATCCTCTTTAATGACACACTTACATACGTACAATAAACTATGTTAGACCTTCTATGTTGGTTCTCCTGTAAAAAACTTCAGCTTATTCATTGTACTGTTGTGATGTTTATAACATGACCTTATCAAAATCAGCATAACTGATTTTTTTTTTCCTTTTTTGTCTTTTTTCGTGACTGGTAACGGGATCGCAACCCTCAGTGTCGTGCCCGTACCGCGACCAGCAACGGGATCGCAACCCTCGGTGTTGCGCCCGAACTGCGCTCAACCAGTGAGCAGACCGGTCTCTATATGGGATCTGAACCCTCAGTGGGAGCGCCGCCGCGCTCCCAAGCACCGCACTCTACCGAGTGAGCCACCAGGCCGGCCCAGCATAACTGATTTTTATAACTATGTTGATTATAAAAATATATTTTAGATACCTGGCCTTCCCTTCTTTACTGTCAAAGAAATTTTATGTATAAACACACAAAACTCTAACACAGGTTCCTGAGAAATAAATATCTATTGCTATTAAGTTATTTCTGCTTTCAACAACTGGACACTAATATTTTGAGAAGAAAGGTACTTGGCAAAGAAACATACACCTTCCTGTGACATCTGAAACTCAACAGCTTACATGTCTATCTCTGCAATGTGTGTTTTTGCACAGTGTGGGAGAGATACTCGTGAATGGGTCAAGGAATATGCAAACTCATTAGTCAGGAAGAAATCTTGTCAGATTAAAGTATTTGCAAGACTGTACTCAAGGTAGCTATAAATTTCTCTAAAGCACACAGGACTAAGAGGAATTTAAAAATTAGATCCAGATAAGAAAGGAAGCCCATAGAAAATAATAGTACATAAGAGGTACAGTATAAAAAGATGCTACAACTCTGCAGCCAGCTTGAAAATCCTTAGCTTTCCTTCAAGGAAGTACTGGCTTTGGGAATAGAGGTGAGTGTCCAGGATCTGCGCATCTGAAGCTCACATCTAGATTACATTCCAGTGTCTCCAGAAAATACTCTCCCCTTAGTTTCATTCCCGTAGGAGCCTTCTGTCATCACTTTCCTGATTTTCAGAGTCATGCAGGTTTTTCCCTCAGCCCAGAGGCAGAGGGTGGAGAACCAATATGATGGAAAGGATATTACAAACTTCCAATTCAAGATCTTCTCTTGATGAATGACATACTTCAGTGCAGACTAAGTTGTGTTAACAAACATCCTCAAAATCTCAGTGGCTTAACCCAGAGAAAGGATTTACATTTCACTCACACTACATGGTTAATATGGAATTGGGGGGTTGGGATGACAGCTCACTGTCATCACTAAGGGGCTTTATTAGTCCATTTCTGCTGATTATTTCAGAATACTTGAGACTGGATAATTTATAAAGAAAAGAGGTTTATTTGGCTGACAATTCTGGGATAGCTGCACCTGGCATGGGCCTCAGGCTGCTTCTACTCATGGCAGAAAGCAGCAGGGCAGCCTACAGGTAGAAGCAGATCACAGGGCAAGAGAAAGCAAGGGGAGGGGGAGGTGCCAGGGTCCTTTAAACAACCAGCTCTTGCAGGAACTAATAGAGCAAGAAGTCATTCACTACCATCCTGCAGAGTATTAATATATTCATAAGAGACCTGCCCCTCCATGACCGAAACCACTCCTAATATTGCCAAGTTAGGGATCAGATTTCGACATGAGCTTTGGGGAGCATGACATATCCAAACTCTATCAGGGGCCCAGGAAAACAGAGACCAGGGAACATGGACTCCAGCATCACACTCTACCTCTTATGCTCACAATTCACTGGCCACAACTAGTTATATGTCCACACCTAATGTTAAAGGGGGCAGGGAGATACAATCCTACCATATGATCAGAACAGGAGAATCAGAAGATATGTAAGCAGCCACTACAAACGAAAATTTGGAAATCCACGAAAACTAAAGTGGTCCATGCTGATTTACAGAGCTGTTTTTCCTTTTTTCCTTTCATTTATTGTCATTTTTTTTTAGGAGGTATTTGTTTGGTGGACATGAGTATACTGGTACAGGTTCCTCAAACCACCAAAAATCCTCAGAATGCTCCTGTTTTCCAAGCATCTACTTCAAAAGGCCCTATTAAAATTGTCCATCAATGAAAAATGATCGAAATGCAGAGGAGTCACAATATTGGGAGCTTCCAGCCTACATCAGGTATTAGTCACAGTAAAAAGGTTAGATTACTCATATGGCTTCAATTTTTCAAGTGAAAGATGACATGGTCATAAAGCAAAGCATATTTTCTATGAGATGGAAGTTTTAAATTTCACAAGGAAACTACCAGAATCATTTCTTTGCTAACTGAATGAGAATTTTACCTTTCTAAAAATATTAGTCTCAATTTATTTTCAGATGGCACTGATCGATATCATTTTTATAAATACATGACTACAGGAGTACATTTGTAATTAAAAACATATAATGCATTTTGTTGCATGATTCAAGATGAGACATTCAGATTGATCACAGGGTTCCTGTTTCCCAGAGACCTAACTCACTTCCTATACAAGAAACTATGAATCAGAATTGTCATCAGTGTTTAGATGTATGGTTCACAAGACAGGCAGTATTCCAGTTTTGGATGGTATGACCAGGTAGGGATGTCGTTATCTACTTAAGTGATAAATCTATTGTCTGTCACTTTTTCTATATCCTTCTTCAATCTACTTTAAGAAGGTTTTACCTTAATCTAGACAACTTCAGTTACTTCCACTTCTTACAGAGAATTTAGATGTGGTTAACTGCCTTTCTCATTTGATGTCACATTAAAAAAAAATTGGCACCAAACAGCCTATTGTGCATACTGAGGTACTTTCACTCTTCAAACTCCATTAAGTTCTCATAAGCCTCAATTAAGTAAAAGAACAGCTAATTAGAACAGTCTGTTTTCAATAGACTTAGAACTTTGCAAGGAAAAAGATTCTAAGACCTTATGTCTAACTGTTCCTTCTCCCATGTGTTCAAGTCTCAGTATTTGAGACTAGGCAGTAAATTAATTCTTATTTTATTTTAAGTAAATCAAACTAGTCCTTCTGAGATTCACCTTTATACCATGAGGACTCTGGGAGGTTATTATTCTGGAGGTTATTTATCCTCTACAGCTAGAAAAAATCTAGAGCAGGCATGAACATGGCTTGCATTCATTAAGATTCAAACCCGATCAAAAAAATAGGCAAGAGAAAAAAATACAAATCATTAATGACTTTAAGCACATCATTTGACTGAAATTCCAAACACTTTTCTAATTTCAACAGTTAATAATTATAAATAAGGTATTTATTTACCTGAGAGAAACTGCATGTGACCCGTATATCTCTCTCACTGCCGACAAATCAGCTTCCAACTGTGGGTGTTTGTGCAGTTCCCCGTCATAGTTCACCTGATGAAAAGGGATGAAATTAGTAGTGACTTGGGGGTAAAGGGAATCAAAAGAACCAAAACACAAACAATCTTTTGCACAGGTCACCTGGTGCATTCTGTCATGGACATTTTCAGTTGCATTAAAAAACACTGATAAATCAGTAGTATATTTACTAAAGTTATTAGGTTCACATATGGCTAGAATAATTCACTACCATTAAAAGTTAAAATTAGAATATTTTGATGCAAAGAAAATGCAAAATCTGAAAAACTTCTAGACTGAACATCTGAGCTCAAGAAAAGCATTTACTTCACTTCACTGGAAGAATTATTTTGCATACTGTTCAAATGTTATATTGATTAAAGAATCATTTCAGTAGGAAAACTATCCCAGTGTTAGAAAGTCATTCCTGGGAGGGAAGAAACATAGTTTTGTTATGCCTATATCTCTACTGCCTTGCTTATGCTTGATTCACAAATTACTGATTTTTGATTCTGAATGAACAAATTTACTTGCATTCTTTGACATAATAATAACTTTCGTTCTACTGCCCCTCTTAGACATATTACCCTCCCATTATAGTATCCAAGTTATGAAACACATTTGGTCAAAGGGTTTATAGAAACAGGACATATTACACAGCCAAACCCTAAAATCAATTGCTCAGTTTTAAATTTTAACATTATCCTGGAAAAATCTGATGAGTTTATTTGTAGTGGCTAGGCTAATTTCATGTATTTAAGTTATGACGTTTCTTCAAAAAATTTTCAACACAATAAATACAATGACAATACAAATAAACAAATAATTAGGATGCTCAATAACTAAGGTCCATCTACTTTTATAAAGGTTAACCATCTTCTGTTTAAAACTAACAATCTATGCTTTTGTTAGAATTGTCATCATTTCAAAATATGGACCAATCACAATATGCTTAAGAAATGCAAAAGTCAAAAACATAATAAATTACTGCATAATAAATTATCTGCAAAATCTCTGTAATGAATTACGACAACATCAACAATAAGGAATCGTTACAGTTAAAAGAATTAAAGGTAGCCTTAATTTCTGAGAATATGCAAAAAGTGAGAAACAGATAAATTATAGATTTTCTAGTTCCTTACAGAATCCTGAACTACACTTAGGTCTCAACTCTCAGGGCACACATTTCTACTAAAAACATAAGGCTCTTAGAACTTTGATACTGGATATTTAGAAGACCAGATTTACTTACCTGTCCTCCATAATAAAATTCTTCAGAGTCATTATCACCTTCAGAATCTTCTTCCACTGTACTATTCTGTCTTGACTCCTTAAAATAATAGAGCAAGAAGATAATTTTAATAGTCGAATGAGTTGTCCTCGGTTTGAAAATGAAGTAGCAAGTGGCCATAATAGGCAGGTCTTTTGCATATTACATGGATTATATATAAAAATACATTCTTGGTGCAGTACAATCCAAAAACAAAGGGAGGGAGAGAAAAACAGTTTTGTGGGTATATTCAGCTCTTTCTAAAGTACATTTTTGTTTAAAATTCTCTTTCTCTGACCTTAAGTTCTGCAATTTAATATTTGATGTATATTAAAAACTTATGAATAATCAATTACACCTTCAGTTTTACTCTGACAAAACATTTGGCAAGCTCAAACTGATTCCATTTTTATTAAAAAGTTCCTCAGCATTATTTATCCCATATTGTTCTTACTCCCATTGCCAACTCTAAACAACGGTATGAAAGAAAAAACACTTTGAATACAATAACATAAAAGCCAAACTACAAAAATAAATACGAATCACATTAGAAAGAGAACTTTTGATATACAAAAATTCTTTGTTTTAGGGCCGGCCCGTGGCTCACTCGGGAGAGTGCGGTGCTGATAGCACCAAGGCCCCGGGTTCGGATCCCATATGGGGATGGTTGGTTCGCTCACTGGCTGAGCGTGGTGCTGACAACACCAAGTCAAGGGTTAAGATCCCCTTACCGGTCATCTTTAGAAAAAAAAAAAAAAATTCTTTGTTTTAGAATTCAAATTTCAAAAATCTGAATTTTAATTTAATTTAATAATAACTAAATTTCAAAAAATTAATTATTATTAAATTAAACAATATGCTTTGACTTGAAGCTTGAGTTTTTAGTCAACTGAACCACATCTGTTAAGTGTCTGAAGTACAAACAAGGAAAATTCACAGTGGTATTCATGGTCCTATTAACATAGGAGAAAGGTAGATTCTTTTGGAGATAGAAATCAATTCATCCAATATTTCATAATTGTCACTAAATTTCTAGAATAAATTCCAAGTTCTTAAGGAAAACAAAAAACAATAAAAGGGAATTTGGCTTTTATAAAATTTTAACCGTTTTTGGTTTAAGCAACGGTTTTGTTCAATCAATGACTCTCCATGTGGATAAAGAAGGGAAAAATGAACGGTACATCACTAACAAGAAGGGAGAGTTATATGGCGTGCATAGTTTTGAAAGCAGAAAATTGCTAGCCCGACTGCACTCATTTTGTTTGTTTAATGCCTTGGTATTTATTTACAGATTCATGTACATTTTTTAAAATCAGGGAGTAGGGATGAGTTTGTTTTTTTAAACACTGGCTGATAATAGGGCGACATACACCTTTTGTGCTACTTTGGCTAAAGAGATCATTTTCTACAAACACAATTTTAAGTATAACCATGCATAGTTATAATAAGTTACATAAATTATCTTCAGTCAACAACATTATTTGATGAAAGAATGGCTACTTTGGCTAAAGAGATCATTTTCTACAAACACAATTTTAAGTATAACCATGCATAGTTGCAATAAGTTACATAAATTATCTTCAGTCAACAACATTATTTGATGAAAGAATGCAGAATAAGTTAAGCTTTGTATGCATTTTATTTCGATTTAAACCAGACATTCTTTTCTATTATTTTAAAGAGAACTTTCTTTTCCAAGTGAATTTTAGGCCACTTCCTTTACCACACAAAAAGTTCCTAAGCCACAAGCTTGAGTTTGATTCACCCTATGCAATTTTAATCTAAACAACAACAATGCAGTAACTACAAATATCTGGTAAACTTAAAATGTCTAATGTTTTGAAAAAATAAAAAATATAACTTACATACCTCCCCATTTTCCTTTTGTAATTTGGATTTTATGGATAAGCAACAGTTAATGTCATCTGTTTTTCTTAATTCTGAAAGAAAGTTATAATTAAAAAATTATTTTAGTTTTCAGTATGCTATATACCAAGCATTCATGAGTTTCAGTGTAAAAACACCCCTCCGGTGATTCCATCTCCTTTGCAAAAGAATTAAGAAATATTCTGAAATGAAACAGTGTTGGGGAGTTACACAATATGCAAGCTATTCTGATTTTTCACTGTGCATAAAAATGTGATCAAACTAAAGTACCACTATACAGATTCCTTCAGCTCTCGTATATTTCATGGTATCTTCAGTGCCATAAATGTAGTTTTTAAATATTCGGTTTGTCTAGCAGTGTTACTATGCAGGAAAATATTTTTCAAGAGCAATGCCAACGTAATGCGTTTAAAAGGAACTTTTTTTTAAGTACTATGAATTTATGCACTTAAAAAAATGTTGAAAAACAAACTTTAGATAGAAAATTTGGGTGGAGAACCAGATTTACAGATGACAAACATAAATATTTGCTGTATCAGCTAAAAGAAACAAAAAAACAAACTTACCTATAATTAAAAAAAATTAACCTAGAATAAAAGAAATTGCACTACTATTACCTGTTGCTATTCTATGAAAAATTACTGGAATTGGCTCTGTAGTAACTAGTACATCTTCATCATTTTCTGAACTTGACACATATGTATTATCTGCAAAAAAATATTAATTATTAAAGGCATAGTAACTCGAAAAAATACATCCTTTATAAAAATAATGACATTATATCCACATCACGCTAGTTCCAATCTCATAAAGCACACACTATTGTTCTGATTAAACTCAAAAAATATAATGAAGCAAACTGCAGATTTACGTGTGAATTAATTAATTGTCAATGCTCTCTTTAAAGACATTTGCATCCCCTAGAGAAATACAGACTTTGAACGGAGACTATCCAAACTCATCTCTAATATCCCATGTGGCAATAAATCATTTGGATGCAATGGTAGCCTCAACTCACTTAACAGGGTCCTTTCTCAATATTGGTATCTACTACAAGAAGCAGGTTTAGTGAGTGAAGGAAGAAAAGTAAAAGTTTAGCATTTTTTCCCTGATAAATATGGATCTCCAAGTGTATGGTAATATAACACACAGGTTTTATTTTTCTTTGCTCATTGATGGTGGCAGAGCATCTGTGAGATAGCTATTTAACAAACACTTCACCAATTCATTAATAACGATCCTATAATGCACCCATCAATAACCTAATAAATAGTATAAAATACCAGCAACAAATAATGGAAGCATGAATCAATTTCTGCCAAGAGAAATTAGTGCTTAGATGACTGAATGAATACACAGTAAAAGATCTTTTTGAGTCGAATTTTCACAATATTGTGTCAGTACAGTGAGAACATGATTTTTAATTGATAGCTCATTACTTTACTTCCAGGCAAACATCTGTATTATTTTTAGGCCTTGAGTAATGAGTAAATGACAGTGATATGTACGTACAGCTTAGCCGCAAAAAAATCTCAGCAGACATATGGCTTCAATAGTTATTCATGGAGGTGAGAAGGGGTGGGTATGGATTAAATTTGAAACAAAAGTTTTTCTCCTTTGATTAGTGTAAACCACAAATTTTGCTTTATTGAGTTTTCAAATATCATCAAGGAAGATGAGAGATTTTCGTGTTTATCAAGTGGGACCACTAATTAAAAGACAGATTTAATATAAAGTTATTTAAATTACTGTCTCATGTTAGTTGAGACTTTGATCATGTATCTAGAGTCTCTTCTGTCAGTAACCTCATACTTTCGGGTGAGTATCAAACACCCCCCTATTAGAGACTGATTTTTTTTATTTCTTAAACCCTGACTCAGAATCTTACAGATGTGAAATTATTTGTCACTTAATCAACCTAATTATTTCCCTGTGCACAATGGATTCCTTGGAGCTAAAGAGAAAAAGTGTTTTAAAAGGGAGCATTAGAGCAACAGAAGTAAAACCTGACCACTAACTAGAAGGGAAGATCCAGAAAATTCCATAAAGTGAATAGCATCATGAAATTTCACAGCACCATGAAAAAGCATCAAGAGGCAAGTAAATTAAGACATTATATTTAAGAAAACAGGAAAGTTAATAACTAAATTTAAAAGATTTTCTATCATAATGGCTTACATTAAATGTTGACACTGGAAGACAGTAAGGATTCATTCAAAAGAATATAATTTAATGAGACATAATTTAGGGAACATAATATGTGTTGCACAATGCTGTCGAAGAGATTTTCTACCAGTCTCTATTTTGACTAGTATTTACGCTTTAGAACACTCTGTTTTTGACTTAATTCACCCTAAATCAAAATGTTCTCAGGTTTCATAACATTGTTTATCAAACTGTCATTATGATATAATAGGTCAGATCAGATCACAGAGGTAATGTCAAGTTATTATCAGAAATGTAGGAGAGTAAAAAAGCACATCAAATCTAGATGCTGATTCACTTTTTTGGAGGAATTCACTCACGAAGCATTCTGTTCCTGGGCTTTTCTTTGTTGGGAGATTTTTCATTTCTGATTTGATCTCCTTACTCATTATTGGTCTGCTCAGACTTTCTATTTCTTCATGATTCAATCTTGGTAGGTTGTATAATTCTGGATATTTATCTAGTTTAGCAATCCCACTTCTGGTTATATATCCAAAGGAAATAAAATCAGTATCTGGAAGAGCTATGAGCACCTCCACGTTCACTGCAGCATTATTCACAATGGCCAAGATGTGGAAACAACCTAAGTGTCCATCAGCAGATGAATGGATAAAGAAATTTTATACGTATATACAATAGAATATTCCATTCTTTTTTTTTTTTTTCCCCTTTTTGTCTTTTTTTTTTCGTGACCGACAACAGATCGCAACCCTCAGTGTCGCGCCCGTACCGGACCGGGACCGGCAATGGGATCGCAACCCTTGGTGTCGCACCCGCACCTCGCTCAGCCAGTGAGCGGCCGGTCTGTATGTGGGATCCATATGTGGGATCCGAACCCTCGGCGGGAGCGCCGCCACGCTCCCAAATGGCACACTGTAGCAGTGCGCCACCGGGTCGGCCCCGAATATTCCATTTTTAAAGAATGAAGGAAATCCTGCCATTCGTGACAACATGGATAAACCTGGAGGACATTATGCTAAGTGAAATAAGCCAGGCACAGAGAGACAAATACCACACGATCTCACTCACTATGTAGAATCTCAATAAGGAGAACTAGTAGAAGCAGGGAGTACAATGGTGGCTGCCAGGATTTGGGCAAACTGAGGAGATATTGGTCAAAGGGTACACACTTTCAGTTATAAAAACAAGTTCTATGGATCTAATGTACGACATGGGTGGTGATGGATGTGTTAATTAATTTGATTGTGGTAATAATTATACAATGCATACATATCAGATCATCTTAAATATATTCAATCTTTATTTAGCAATTAAATATTTTAAAATTAAAAAAAAAATCTAGACACTGCTATCAACTAGCTGCTGATCCCTTTTATCCTAAGCCATGGTCTTCTGAGCTATAAAATGAGGTTTGCTGACCTCCTCTTAGATCTTTGAGGACCATCCCAGCTGCATGAATCCATTCTATGTTTTCTTTCTTTGGTGTTGTCTAAACAATTACTTCTAAATCTTCCTCAAACTATTCAAGAATTTGTAATAACATCACCTTTGCTTAGAGATGAGAAAGTAAAACGTAGAAAGGATTAAGGCACGGATTTCAGGTAACAGAATGAGTCAGTGACAGAATAAAAATGTTTTCAAAGTCAAATTTCTTCACTGGAATTCTCCTACTTGACTTCAGAGCTGTGATTTTTTTTCTTTTTTTTCTTCCCTTAAAACCTCTGGGTCAGTTAGGTTCTTTAATGTGTATGTTTTATAGAGGACCTACAGATCTTTGTTAAAGCTGTTAAAAAAATATGAATTTTTTTTTCTTTTCTTTATTTCCCTAACAGACGACGTAAGCCCTATCAGAATTTCCATGGACAACTGGGGGGAGATGAGTAGAGAGCTACGGAAAAGCAGCCCTTCAACTGTAATCTTTATTCTATCTCAAATGCAGCATAATTTAAAGACGAGTCACTCCATTCTTCATTACCATCTAACTTAAGAGAAATAATAACTATACCTATAAATAATAATTATACTGATATTGTATTATATTCTCGATATTTTCCCTCAGTTTTCTATATAATCTCATGTCATCCCCACAGTCAATTATTATCCCTGTTTTAAAGATTACCAAATTGAGGGTCAGAGAAATAAAGTAATTTGCTCAAATTATTTAAGTAGTTAATTAATTACACAGCTAGTAAGTGGTGAAGCTTAAATCTGTCTGAATCCAAAATTCGATGCTTTGTCATTATAAGTGTTTTTGTAAATATGGAAAATATTGTCACTCAAAAATTGCAATATCCTATGAAATACAAACGCTTATTAAATATCGAATCAATTATATTTTAGAGGCTATAATTTGATAGAGACTGTGTAGGATTCTAATTCTCACTTTAGCGGTTTATTCATAAAACTATACAGTGTCCAAGTATCTCACATAGATCAAGACTCTTTGGACTCATGGGTACTGGAGCATCCAGAAACTATCCTCCCCTCACCCCTCTAGATTCTAGAGGGGAATATAAAAAGGATGAGATAATCCACTCCCATCAATAGGTAAGTCTTCTAACTAAAGGCGGGAACAGATGAGAATTAAGAAATTCTGCCGTTCTGTTACAACAAAGCCAGGTTGTGACTTGTAATATACACAACTATTTTCTAATTCATTACCTTAAAAAAAAAAGCTGCCTTCAGTAGAAAATCCACAAAGACGTACAAGCCAGAAGACTGCTCTATTTTTTCACTTTATTTTTGAGCCAACATATCATTTAGTATTTCATTTATATATTACAATTTTATAATATGTTGTTTATTATAATAATCATATGTTATATTATTTTGATAGTATTATTATGTATGACTAACTCAATTAAAGACCCTCTAAATTTTCATTTTCACAAAACTATGAAATGACTTTTAATAGATGACACAGGATAATTAGCAGATCAAAATTATAAAATGACAAACCTATTCCAAGGGACATATGCTAGGGTGATATAATCCTGACTCTTCAGGATAATGCTGATGCATTTCCGTAGGGAAAGAAAATTCCACATTTTCAAATTCAGATGAGCTAATTATTGAACCAAACGATCCAGGAAAAGTAGAAAAAAAAAATAAGCCTAAGGAACACTATCAGAAGGAATTAATAAAGGTAAAGTCAAATTACTACATTAAGAAATTAACAATGATAAAGAGAGCTATTCATTTTAAAGAATTTTTAAAATGGTCAAATTTCTGGAAGATTAACCAAAGTAGGAAAAGACAGGAACAAATACAAACAGTAGAAATGAGGAGAAATAACCAGTGACATGGAGGACTTTTACAATTATATACCTAATACTATAAAATACTTTTTGCTAAAAAATGTAGATGTTTCACCAACATAGGGACTTTCAAGAAGAACACATGTTTAAAAATGACTGAGAAATAGAAAAAAAGATCAATGATCATGGCAGAAAAATATAACTGACCCAGAACCATCACTAAAAGGGTACCAGGCTCAGACAGATTTGCTTGTAAGTTCTATCAAATGCTCAAAAGTGGTTTAATTCCTTCAGCAACTCAAAGTGTTTAATACTAAAGTATATGACAAAACACACATAATCCTCATAGATGAACATTAAGTTATCTGCTAATATAACTTGTCACCTTATTTTTTAAAGGAGAAATGATGTATACCTCAACAGATGCCAAACAAGAATTGGATAGATTTAATATTCATTCTTAAAAAAAGAAAAAAAAAAAAAAAAGGCTTGGTAAATGAGAAAAGGAATAATACTTTCTTTTCTGAAAGTAATTGGAAGCATGCTCACTAATTTTGAGAAAAGGGACGTAGCTGCCAAATTTCATATTTATTATTAAAAATTATTCCAGAAGTTTTAGCCAGTGCCAGAGGAAAAATGCAGTTATGAGTATTGGAAAGTAAGAGCAAACATATAATTTTGTATATAACTGTCTATCTGAAAAGTCAGGCATATTACCTAACAACTCTAAGTAAATGTGGATTAAAATTTTAAAATGGGGAAAATATTAACATATTAATGTTCAATTTGAAGAACGTTCCATAAAAACACTAATGCTACTTCTTCCCCAGAAGCAAGAGGAATCAGAACTGAATTATAGACGTGGTTTTACCATCAAACTACATGTCCTTGGGAAATATTATTTAACCTCTCTCAGAACACTTCTTGAGGTAAGAACATAATGATCGCCCCTGTTCTGCCTGGCATTCAGAACCAAGTGAAATTATGTATGGGGAAATACGTAGTGTACTGTGAGCTGGACAGCATATTTTGGTGTACTGGTTGCGGAAACCGATCCAAAATTCTGTCCCAGTATTTAAACCAGAATGCACTAATTTCCCTCTCCCATCCTCGAGTTTTATTGCAGCGTAATCTAACCTATTTTGATCAAGTAGATAAAATATAATGTATATTTACACTCCCTTTATTTTATTTTATTATCACAAATGATAACCAATGCTTTCTTTTAAAATTTCAAGTTTTGTATATTGGTATTTCGAAGTGGGGCTCCCGTAAAGGGAGAAAAAGCTCGAGTGATACCTCTTGGCCACAAGAGGGAGCTAAACATTTTGTCCACTTGGTTTACCAAATGGCATCTTCTACCATACGTCATGTGCTACAGAATAATTCACTTAGCGCCCTCAAGTTGGGCTTTGATTTGTGGCATTATTTCTATTACCTAGACATAAAGTCCTGCAGCTCTCATGGCTGACATCTCTCCAAACTGCCCCGGATGAGGAGCACAGTAATTATAATATTTACAATAAATATTGGGGCTTTTATTTTCCTAACAAACACTCAGCATCAAAAACATCTTATACCACAATAAGGCAGAAGTCTGACTTATGCATAATAATCTACAAAACATATTTTTTCTTGTAAATATTTCTTGTCTTGGTTCTTCCAGTAAACCTTGCCAAGAACACTTACTATTACTATTAAAATATAGGCATGTCCTTAAAATGAAGAATCCCCCATTGTATAACTGTACAATTGTTTTATAAAATACTACTCTGAGAACATATGGAGAGCATAGCAAAATAATTACAAGGAAGTTTATTATTTTGAAACATAAAGTAATCTTGTAAAAAGATTAAATGGTTAATGCAAACTGCCACAGAAAATACTTATAAGTTAAAAAAAAAAAAAGTTTTACATTATCTCCATACCAAACTATGGACTAATTTTTAAATAATCAAGTATATGTATACACATACACACACTCTTAGAGAAATGAATGAAACAAATAAATGTTAGCTATTATTTTTATATTATGAAAGGCCAAATGATGTTCCAAAACTAGCAACTACACCGGTGTAGAGAATCTTCATTTTAATTTTAATGATGTAAATATACAGGCTGAAGCTACCATACGGGCTCATGTAAATGACTTTTCATTGGGAAATTATTTTGATTCTGGACTGCATCTCAGAATACATCATGTACCACACAGGTAATCAACACAATTCTTCTATATTTTTAAGACTTCCTCTGCCTGCCGATGCTTAACCTCTAGATATATGTATATACATTTTACATCTCCAAAAGACAAACATATTCAAAGGTGGAAGTCTTTTTTTTTTTTTCCTTTTTGTCTTTTTTCGTGACCGGCAGCGGATTGCAACCCTCAGTGTTGCACCCGTACCGGACCGGGACCGGCAACGGGATCGCCACCCTCGGTGT